TTTCTAGTGACTAACTAACTTCTGATTGGTTCCTTGTCATGAGACAGGCATCTGATTTTCTAGTGACTAACTAACTTCTGATTGGTTCCTTGTCACAAGGCAGGCATCTGATCTCTAAGTGACCAAGGCAAGGTTATGGCAAGCACGTGTTCGGCTGTTATGGCTGCCGAAAGGGAAGCTGGTCCCTTCACTGAGAGCTATCCAATTTCATTTCAAACCATCCATCCTTGCTCTCTAGAGTCCAGCCATAGTCACTGCTTCTCCCTCTCAACACAGGGTCATCACTCTGTAGTCCAGGTTGGTTTCAAATTCATCAACCTCTTGCCTTTAGAGTTCTGGGATTACAAATGGTAACAGCCATACCCAGCTCCACATCTTTTGCATCAAAGGAAGGAGTCATGCCTGTGTCAAAGGACCCAGCAAATGGAAAGTACTCAAATTGTTTGTCAAATGAACACAGGAACTGTGAAAAGAGCAGCCAGACATTAGAGGTCCAAAGCTTTTGCTACCGGCCTCTCTTCATCTGAGACTGACTGGGCTGATGAAGGACTAAATTGGGAACACATTCACAGAGGCCAGGGTCTCAGTCCAGTGAAGGGAAAAGACAGGAAGGATGCTGTCTATCAGCCATGTGATCTCAAGGAAACATGATCTCCAGTAGAGAACAGGTTTCTCAATCCTGTCCCTAGCTTGATAGGTCCACATGGTTCTGCCTGAGCCCAGACAGATGTGTTGCAGTCTGTCCAGTGCCCTTGGTCTTGGGTGAGTGGCTCAGTGTAGAAGCCAGGCTCTGGGAGGGGCTGGGCTGAGGAGGGGTTACCTGCTCTCACAGCTGCCACGAAGGGCAGGGACAGCCTCCTACTTGAGTGGGAGTTGGGTGACCTTACAAAGTTTAAGTGCTTCAAGGAGAAAGGAGGAAATGGCTGCTGCACAGGGAAGGGGAAGGAAAGAGGAAGAGCCCAGCCTTCCTGTGTGCCAGTGGAAGATTGGAACAGACAGGCCTCTGGACTGCCTGCTTCTGTTGTATTCAGGTCAGTTACATCGTGCTCTGGGGAATAGGAATAGGTGAGAGAGAGGGACAGAAGACTGGCCTTGCCCCTGGGGAAGGCATACAACTGAATGACTCAAGATGAAGGGTAGTTCACAAACTTTTGTTGTTTTGGTGTTCTGTTTGCTTTTGTTGTTTTATTTTGTTTATTAAGTTGGTCTTGCTAACCTCTAACTCACTAGCCTTGAGCTGGAGAGTTAGTTTCCTGCTTCACCCTAAATGCTAGGATTACAGGCTTGAGCCAGTATGACCAGCTCAAACTCCTTAATACAAATAATAAGATGAAGCCAGTGAGATGGCTCAGCAGGTAAAAAATGTCTGCCACCCAGTCTGAGGACCTGAGTTTAATCCCCGGCACAGCCGGAGAAGGAAAGAACTAACTCCCACTGGTAATCTTCTAACCTCCACATATATACTGCCCACCAGTGTGCCCAGACACAAGCACACAAAATTAATAAATAAAATGTAAAAAAAAAAAAAAAGAATAATGTGTGGCAAATGGTAGGTCCTGGCTTGTCCTTTTGATCAAGCAGCCACCCTACACACAATTAGCCAAATTCTCACAAAGCAGTAAACAGGACCATAATCCAGAGCTGGCAGGTATTTAGTTGCCATTACAAAAATATGTATTTAGAGACTGGAGAGATAACTCAGTGGTGAAAAGCACATACTGCTCTTCAGGCTGTTCACAACTGTCTGTAACTCCAGCATCAGGGGATCTGACACCCTCTTCTGGCTTCTGTGAGCACCTGCACACACGGGGCATACCCTTCTTCCCCTTCACATACACATAATTTAAAAAAGATCTTTAAAAATATAAATATATTTGACAGGGTGTATGAATACATAATTGACGTACTAGGGAAACAGGGGCAGGAAGAGGGAGGGAGGGTATTTGCCGACATAGTAGCACCTGCCTATAATCACACACTTGGGAGGCTAAGACAGGAAGATCATGAGTTTTAGATCCCTTTCTGGACCAAATAGCAAGAAATACCTCAAAAACAAAAAACCAAACCCCCAAATCAGACAACAACAACAAACTCCATCTGGTAGGTGCACAAAGTCCTAGGTTCAACCATCAGCACCATATAAAATCAATCACAGTGGTACACACTTGTGATCACATCATTCAGAAGGTAGAGGCAGAAAGAAGGATCAGAAGTTAAACGTCATCCTTGGCTACATAGTGAGTTTGAGGCCAACCTGGATACATGAAACCTTGCCTCGAAAAACAAAAAAAAAACCATAAATTTCAGAGCTAAAATTATCAACCCTTGGAGTGGGTCTTGCTAAAATAAGCTAGAGTCAGCCTCCTCAGTTCGGCAAACCTGCTGCCTATATTGGGCTTGGGGGTGGGAAGCACAGGTGATTCCAGGGTCAGTAAGCCAGTTTCTACTCCTCGCTTCTCTGTAATAAGGCTCTAGAAAGCAAGGCACGTGGCTGGGGCATGAAGATGCCGCATGCAGCTGCAGTTATGAATGGCCCTTATAACAACAAGATGACATCTGCGCTTGGTTTTTAAGATGCATCATCACATGTTTATTAAACTATTGCTCCATCATATTTATTTGGCTACAAAACAACTCCCAGCCCATACTTCCAAAAGTGGTTTATTAAAAACTAAGCCGTGAACATTAATACTCAAAAGCACCCTTGAGAATCAATAATAATGCCGCAGATAAAATGAAAGGGAATCAAAGCAGTAAGTCTTGGTGGAGCCGTGGCTGCCTTTTCACACTTTCTTATATGTTCAAGCATCTGGAGTGGGGAAGAGCACCGAGGATATGCAGGGATAACTACCCCAAACACTGACTTCCTGTCTAAAATGTGAACATAACACCAGGCATGGTTGCTTATACCTATAATCCCAGCACTTAGGAAGCTGAGGCAAGAAGACTGAAAGTTCAAAGCCAACCTGGGTTACATAATAAAATCTAGTCTCAAAAAAACAAGGGCTATGGGGCTCCAAGGTTAAGAGCACTGGCTGCTCTTTTAAGAGACATGAGTTCCATTCCTAGCATCCACACATCAGCTTCCAACCCTCTGTGACTCCAGTTCTAGAAGATCTAATGCCCTCTTCTTGCCAGGAGCACTGCAGGGATATGATGCACAGAAATACCTGTGGGCAGAATGCCCATACACATAAAATGAAAATAAAATTGGCTAGTCATGGTGGCATATGCCTTTAATCCTGGTACTGGAAGGCAAAGGTAGGAAGAGCTCTGTGAGTTTGAGATTAGTCTGGTCTACTAAGTGAGTTCCAGGGCAGCCAGGAATGCATAGAGAGAAAATGTCTCAAAAATAAATAAATAAATAAGTAAAAATGAAACCTTTAAAAAAGAAAACAAAACTAAGGGCTAGAGAAGGAGCTCATTAGCACAGCAATTGCCAAGTATGTATAAGACCTGTTCAAATCCAGCATGGCAAAGACAAAAAAAGGGGAGGGGGGAGCATTCAGCAGTTAACAGCACGAGCTACTCTTCCAGAGGACCCAGGGTTCAATTCCTAGCACCCACATGGCAGGCAGCTCACTGTCTGTATAACTCCAGTTCCAGTTATTTGTCTGTAACTTCAGTTCCAGGGGACCTGATACCTTCACACCAATGCACATAAAATAAAGTTAAATAAATTATTAAGAAAGATATGTGAGGAAAGAGAGGGTCCCATGGCCACTTAGATCTTTTTGAAGGGCAATAGGGCCAAGGTGAGGCCCAAGAGGAATGAATACTGTCTCTAAATACCAGCCCGTAACTGATACTTTAGCTGGACCGCACTCTCAGCATCCATCCTAGATGAACACTCTGCCCTGTCCATGGTACTAGCTCAAGGCTTCCCAGCTCAAGATGAGTCTTCCCCTGCTCAAGGGGTCAGCCTCTGTGCCAAAATTAACCTCCCTCAATTTGAGAAGCACAGGAGAGCTAGGTGAGCCAATAAAGCTGAAGAATTACAGTCTGCCTCTGGCAGAGTCCAGCAATGTCTCAGCCCTGTAAGCAGGCCTTCTTAATCACCCAGGACCCTTGGGCACAAAGAGTTCCTAAACCCCAAACTTTTCCAAGGATGATCATCTACACTAGGTCCAGGCAGCAAACATTAATACATGGTCACTTCCACAGAGGAACAAGAATTAACTGGAAGATTCACAGGTCCATGGACTCTAAGTCATTGCCACTGAACACTTAGGGATGTTTGGGGGCCCTCATCCATACCTACAATAGTGAAGTCTGATCTGTGCCAGGGGAGCCTGCGACTGTGGCTACGAGGAACCCTTGGGAAACACGTCCAGGGCAGGGAGAGATTTTTCTCTAAGGCAGAGTCACCACACTCTATTCAGCCCTTCTGTATAAGACAGCAAGGCCCAGACACTCACCTTCTGACTTCCTGCTCATTGTTGGCACGGGCAGCTTCCATCAGAGCTGCATCTGAAAAGAGATGGGGTACTGGTCAGACCCCTGGCCAGGACCTACTTCTCAGAGCTGAGAAAAGCCCCAGTAAGTCAGTGAAAGTTCCTCAAAGTGAAAGACTGGCACGAGAAGACCAACCAAACCCCTTCCCCTGGTAAAATCCACCCCGCTTCTGCTTTGGGGATGCAGGCAGATGCTGTGCCAATTCCCCCACCATTCCCAAGCACTAAGGCTCAGGTATGTGGGCCTCCCTAAGAATGGAAAGAACCTCAATCAGAAGTCATGGATACTGGGATCCAACCCACTCTGCTGTTACTCTGTGTGGCTGCTGCAGCCCTTCCTCCTCAACCAACTTCCATGGTATTCAGCAGACAATAATTCTTGCCAACCTTACAAGATTTAAAAGAAAAGTCTCCAAAATCCGTGGTGCAAGCCCAGAGAAGGGAGACTCAAACAACTGAAGCCTGGCCTGGTTGTTGGCACCACCTTGTGGCCACTTGGGAAAACTCACAAATCAACGGCAAAGGCACAGTTGGCACTCTACACCCAGCCTGGTTCTGGGCTATACTGCTTACCACTAGGCTGAATCCTCCCCAGCCCTCAGCATTCAGTAGCCATGAGACCCACTTGGTAAATTTAAGAGAAGTCACTGGAGTCAGAGGCAAGCTGAGCCCAGCTCCAGTCCCAGCACTGTGACCTGTCCAACTCATCTAAACTCCTGAGCTGCAGCTTATATGAGGAGGGATCAGACACCAGCCTCATCACCTGAATTAACTAGTTTTTATCTTTTTTTTAAAATTTTTATTGTTTTTATTTTTTGAGACAGGTTTGGAGGCTTTCTTGGAACTCGCTCTGGAGACCAGGCTGGCCTCGAATTCAAAGAGATCGCCTGCCTCGGCCTCCTGAGTACTGGGATTAAGGTGTGAGCCACCAAGCCTGGCTTGTTTTTTATTTTTTGAGAGAAGGTTCCTTTTTGTAGATTAACTGTCCTGGAACTCTGTAGACTAGGCTGGCCTCGAACTCACAGAGATCCACCTGCCTCTGCCTCCTGAGTGCTAGGATTAAAGGTGTGTACCATCATGCCCAGTGATACCAGTTCTTTTCAGAGCTTGGGGCCTCCATTCCACCTAACCTATGACTAGGTCTGTCCTACTTACCTTAGGGATTCTGTTTTTTAGTTTGTTTGCTTTTTGAGATAAGAGCTCACTACGTAGCCCAGGCAGTCCTGGAACTCATAGAGATCTACCTGCTTCAGTCTCTAGTGCTGGGATTAAAGGTGTGTGCCATCATGCCTACTTTCTTTCTTTCTTTCTTTTTTCTTTTTCTTGGTTTTTCGAGACAGGGTTTCTCTGTGTAGCTTTGGAGCCTATCCTGGCACTCGCTCTGTAGACCAGGCTGGCTTCGAACTCACTGAGAGCGGCCTGCCTCTGCCTCCCAAGTGCTGGGATTAAAGGTGTGCGCCACCAACGACCGGCGTCATGCCTAATTCTTAAGGATTGTTCTCATCCATACACCTAATTGTGCCCAGACAATCTCCAGTTGAGAGAGGAACATCATTCCTTATACTTATCAACCCTCTTTCTTTCTCCAAGGTCACCAAGGGAGGGAGGAATGAGCTGAGATTTAGCGTGGGGCACTCTGGACTCACAAACTTTCCTTGGCTTTCCACTACCTACAGCAGAATTCATCTTGGCTCCTGAAGGGACCCGTTTCTCAGAACTTAGAATTAAGGGACTCTGCTCAAAATTCCTTATCAGGCAAGTCAGAAGGGGAACCGGCCATAGTTTGAGCCATTTTTTTATGTAGACATCACTGAAATCACATGCCATAAAGTCCAGCCTAAGGCCCCCCAGGAACCTCTCGGGCTAGATTTCAGACAAATTTCTCCTGTTCTTCCAAACACAATGGCTGCTGGGCAATCTTTGGCCATGAGCCTTCATGGCTCTAAACTGCTTACAGAATTCCAAACACCCCTGCCTGCTATGCAGGGTCCATCTCATCTTCTCTTGACTCATTCTAAAGACCTTGTCTTCTATCCTCACCGGCCAAACTGCTAGCCCCTCCACACCAAGCTGGCTGAAGTCCTGGTATGGAATACAACCCAACCCAAGACACATTTGTTAATTAGTCTCCTTCCAGGATCCACACACTTGTGGAGAGATGTTTAGTATTAGGGAAATACTAATAAAATAAAGGTAAGAGGCAGGCCTGGTCGTCATGGGATGTACAAGGTCACCCCCCACACACACACACAAACTTGCATTTCCTGTGTTATCCTTCAGATTTCAAGTTCAAACTCCCCGTCTTCTAAGGACTGCCAATCCTTCAGGAAGGCTATGCTGACCCCACTAGCTCTCCGATCCTCTGTAATGTTCACTAACCCTGCATGGTGAACTGCCTTAACTGGCTTAGTTTTAAGCTGGGACTTTTTGCACACCTAGCTCCAAGCTAAGCAGAGAGAACACCACCTCCATGCATACATAAGCTGCAAATCATATAATCGTTGCTATAAGGGTCATATTTCAGTACCCTCATCAGTAGAAAGGAAACCGAGGACCAGCGAAGAACAAGAGTCCAGCTTCAAAAACTGAGTTAGACAGTACAAAACAAGATCCTTGGTATCCTCACTTCTCATCCAAAGCCCTTTCTTTTCGGGTGGCCACATCCTACTGAACAAACAAACGAAAGTCAAGGCAGTCTACAACCTTGTTCAACAATCTCAGAGTTTGAGGTGTATGGAACCCACCAGAGCCAAACTTAACAAGTTCCTCACCAGCAACTGAGAACCTGAGAGGTTGGGCTCAGTCAGGCCACTCCTCCAGGTAAAATACCAATGGGGTTAGCTACCTCCACCTCCTATCCTATCCCTCTTACTGCTCTAAGTCTCCAGAGAGCTACCTTCCTTTTGCCAACTCCCTGTCCCCCCAGGCTCCACCCCCCAGCCCACCCCCAATGTCCAGCTCACCTTAAGCATGACACTAAGCATAGCAAACACTAAGGAACTGCTGAACACAATCTGAACTCCAAGAGGTCAAAAGGCCAGTCTTAACAGAGTACTGAGAAATTGCCTTCACTATATAGCGGGGAAACTAAGACTAGAGAGGAGCGTGGGAGTCATGGGGGCACCAGAACCAAGTGTCCTTCCTCGGGCCTTTGTATGCAGGCAAACATGTAAAGGTTGTCCCTAAAGTTGCTGGGGATTTCTGGAGACCTCTTCAAAGACTAATGGACCCGATACAATACTGGCATATAAAAGCACCAGCTGTAATTAGTCACTCCAATGCCCCCATTACACAGATACACAAACTGATGCCCGAAGAGGGGACTAGACTTACAATGGGAAGTTATGTAATTCCAAGCAGTGAGCTTTCCAAGGCAACATGTTGCCCTGGCAGCACAAAGTACCTGTTTGTCTCCAAAGGTAAGGTTATGCGGGTCCAAATTTACAAACACCTTTAACCCTCCAAAGGGGTCAGGACCTACCCCCCCTCCCCCCAGCTCTCCCTCGAACCCAAACTGGCCCCATAATCACCCTTGTTGGAAGGACTCTTGTTGTAGCAATGAACCACCAGCGCCGTGGCCAAGGCCCACATGCCCAGTCCCGCCTTGTTGGGGACCCCATTCCAGCTGTCCTGTCCCTGGAGTGTTTCTTCGGGGCTAGGGCCGTGTCCCCAGAAGGCGGCAGCCAGGCATGAACTCTCCGTGCTTTCTCCATGGCGCCCCCCGGTGGCTGCCCCCCGTCCAGGGAATAAGATAGAAGATACTCCAGGGCGCACCCAGGCGGCAGCTCTCAGCCGCTGCGGCTCTCCGCGGTCTCCAATGGTTACGCTCCGGCCATAAGCACTTCCCGGGCTTTGGAGCGAGGGAGACTTGAGTAACCCTACGAAGAGCCGCGGCGCCGGCGCGGTTCTCCTCAACACCGCGGACAACATCATGACACCTGCTTCTATAATCCCCTGGTGCCGGCCCCTGTGCTAGCCACGATCAACATGGCTGCCGCGGCGCGTTCGAAGACGCCGCTTATGGGGTGGGACTGCGCACTACCTCACGGAAGTGGTAGTCCACGGCCCCAGATCTTCTCCTAACTGGAGAATGAACAGACTACATTTCCCTAAGGGCTGTGGGATGACGTCACAATGGCCGCTAACTTAGGAGAATGTTGGGAAATGAAGTTCGGGTGAGGGGCAGAGCAATTAGAATTCAGGATTCCAGAGCCAACTGTGTAACAGAATTTTAATCCCTGTTTTTGGAAGGTGGGAATTTGGGAGATAGGAATTCAAGGTCATCTTGGTCTAGGTCATCCTCGGCTGTGTAAACTATCAAAACAAGATATATCAGAATCCTAGAACCAGTTCCCTAGCTGAAACACACAACACAATTTCTCATTAGTGTTAAAATAAAAATTGTTCCTTCGGCGCCCGGTGGTGGCGCACGCCTTTAATCCCAGCACTGGGAGGCAGAGGCAGGCATATCTCTGTGAATTCGAGGCCAGCCTGGTCTACAAAGTGAGTTCCAGAACAGCTAGGACTGTTAAACAGAAACAAAAACAAAACATAAATGTATCTTTGATGGATACTTGCTAAGTAACTTGTACCCCTCCCTACCTTTGTTTCAGGTTGGTAAGACTTTTCAAAAAAGATGGCTAGGGTTGGGTATAGTGGCTCAAGCAGCCATCTGTGAGCTCGAGGTCACTCTGGTCTACATAGTGAGTTCCAGGATAGTCAGGGCTAGGTAGAGAGACTTCTCTCAAAAGGTCATGATCTTTTTTTGTTTGTTTGTGTTTTGGTTTTTTGAGACAGAGTTTTTCTGTGGCTTTGGAGGCTGTCCTGGAACTAGCTCTTGTAGACCAGGCTGGTCTTGAACTCACAAAGATCCACCTGCCTCTGCCTCTGCCTCCAGAGTGCTGGGATTAAAGGCGTGAGCCACCACTGTCCAGTCCTTGTTTTGTTTTTTTTTTGTTTTTTGTTTTTTTTTTTTTTTAACCAACTTCATAATTCAAAAGTTAAACACAATTAAATGAGCCCATTTCAGAAGTGCCTTCAGATGTGTTCTGACAAGGCCAGAGTCTTTATGACACCCACCAAAAAATAAGTTAAGTATTTGCATGGCCCTGGAAGAAATCTGTCCCCTTCCCAAGTGTTCTCCCTCATGCCAGCTAGTTGGGACCTCTATGCTTTAGTTTAGCCCAACCTGCTCAGAGAGCTGAATCTTAAAAGAGGCATACAGTGTGTATCCTTCAGCCTGGATTCTGCCACCTAACAGAGAAAGGTCCCCAGGTCCACCCGATGTCACAGTTAGCAGGTTCCTGCTCCTCCCATTGCCAAGTTGTTTGTCCCTACAGGTGAGGGAATACAGTGGTTGTCCCTTGTGTCCTGGTTTGTCTGATGTAAACTCTTCTGAGACAGTCTTGGTTTAGACCAATGTTTCCATTTTCTTGGAAAAATACTAGAGAAAAACTGCTGGATTTTAACAGTGTGGGATGTTTCCATTTAACGCTTTAAGAAGCTGTTGGGGCTGGGTATAGTGATGCGTGCTTTTGGTCTCAGCACTCAGGAGGCATAGGCAGGTGGATCTTTGTGAGTAAAAGGCCAACCTGGTCTATAGAGTGAATTCCAGGACAGCCAGAGCTACACAGTGAGACATTGTTGCAATAAGTAAGTAAGTAAGTAAGTAAGTAAGTAAGTAAGTAAGTAAGTAAATAAATATGAAGAGGAAGCAGCTACCACTAGGTGTGTGTCTGTGTTTGTGTGTAGAGATGGCTTAGAGGTTAAGAGCACTATTGCTCTTGCAGAGGCCCCAAGCTGAGTTCCTAGCACCCACATGTCTTCTGACCTCCCCAGCACAAGGGTCAAAATGCCATAGAGTTCTCCTACCTTGTAAAACTTTTATGCAAATCTTTTTAAAACATTTATTTATTTTTATTTTATGTTATTGGTTTTTGCCTGCTTGTATATCTGTGTGAGGGTGTCGGATCCCCTGGAACTAGAGTTACAGTTGGGAACTGTCATGTGGGTGCTGGGAATTGAACCCTGATCCTCTGGAAGAGCAGTCAGTACTCTTAACTGCTGAGCCATCTCTCTAGCGACCCCCCTTATGCAAATCTTTTAATTTTTCCCACCTGGTAAATTTTTTTACTAGAACAAAAGCCACTTAATGACCAGGAGGCAGCCTGGTCATTATTTCTTTATTTCTTTCATTTTCTGTGATAATTTAAAATTAGCCAATCAGGACAGATTGTAAAGTCTGGCAATATTCTTTAGTTTTAAAATTTTTATTACTATTTTAATTATGCATATGTATATATGTTTGTGTATGTGTGTGGAGGTGTCCAAAAAGTCCAGAAGTGTTGCATTTCTCTGGATCTGGAGTTGCAGGTGGTTATGAGCCTCCTGGTGTGGATACTGGAAGTGGAACTTAGGTCCTCTGAATATTCTTTTCTGCCAGGCAGTGGTGGCACATGCCTTTAGATCCAGCACTCTGGAGGCAGAGGCAGGCGGATCTCTGTGAGTTCCAGGCCAGCCTGGTCTACAAAGTGAGTTCCAGGATAGATTCCAAAGCTACAGAGAAACCCTGTCTAGAAAAATAAAACCCAAAAACCAAAAGAATATTATTTTCAAACATAGATATGCAGGCAAAACACTTATACACATAAAATTAAGAAAAAAGAAGAAGCCATTTCCCCAAATGAGTGGTGCATTAGAAACTGGCTTCTCAATGCCAGGCTTGCTAATACCAGCCATAGGCAGGTGGGTGGGTTTAGGCTTCAGTTTTCCTTCCACCGATGGCTAGTTGGGTAAAATGTGCTGTCTTCTCACTGTCTTGGTTGTGACATGGCTTCTGGTGCATCTTTGTTGTACTATGTAGCTCTCTTGAGCATGAAGTTCCAGAGTCCCCATTGTCTGAATGTCCCCTCCCTCCTTTAGCCATGTCTTGCAGTGTTCTACTAAGCTCTGGTCTCATGCTTCCTCTTCATAGCAGCACGTTATAGTGCAATGGTGTAGAGCACCTGATTTATATCTTAGTCTATTGTTTTGTGTCCCAGAAACCTCTGCCCCAACCCGAGGGTCTGCTATGTGAAGACTAAAGGGTCTGGAAAAGTGTGCCTGGCTGATGGGTGTGCACCACTGTTGGAGGCACCAGAGTTGGGTGCCCATTTCCCTGGGGTTTGGATCCTGTGAACTGGGGAACCATTTTAGGCACTAGGTAACCCTCAAAGCAGCAGCCCCAGCCTAAGGAGAACTAAAAGAGGAGCCAAGGCCTCTGACCCCTCCCTCTTGCTGGACATGGAGGGCCAGGTGACAGGTCAGATATTGGAAGTAGGTGGCACAGGCCCCATGTCTGCAGTACTGGTGGATCTATCTTGAGACAGTTCCCAGTAACATGGTATGATGTGGTTGGCTATGATTTGACCTAATTTAATCTGGTATATTTTGGTTAGATATTGCTTAATCTGATGTTGGAGGGAGGGAGACAGATTTCAGATCTAGTGAGATCAGAACAGTAGTTCAAGGCCCTTGACACTATCACCTGAGTTCAATCTGTGGAACTCACTTAGTGGAAGGAAAAGTCAACTTCCTCAAGTTGTCCTCAGACTTCCAAATGCATGCCTACAGACAGACAGACAGACAGACAGCTTTGGTTTTTTGTTTAGCTTACTTGTTTATTATGTTTGCAAGCACTCACATGTGCTTGTGAGTGTTGTATGGTGCCTGTGAGTACAGGTGCCCATGTACCACAGTGTGCATGTGGAATTCAGAGTAATTGTTTCTCTCCTGCCACCTCCTGAGATCTGGGTGTTGATCTTAGGTTGTCCTCTCCTTGCTAAGCCATCTCACCTGCCTCAAAATTTACACTTTAAATGTGAAACTTATTTTATTTAAAAAAAGGCTTTGAAACTTATTTTTTTGTTACATGTGAGAGTATCTTTGTGGGTATGTAAAGTGAGTCCCAAAGGCTGGAAGAGGGTATCAGATTCTCTGGAGATGGAGTTAAAGACAGTTGTGAGCTACGATGTGGGTGCTGGGAACAGAACTTGGGCCTTTTGCAAAAACAGCAAGTGCTTTTAACCAATGAGCCATCTCTCTAGCCCCTAGATGTAAACTTTATTGTATGAAATGATTTATATTTCAATGACACTATTTCAAAAACTATAAAAAATATAACATAGTTTACTTTTCATACTGGGAAATACATACTGTATATATTATAGAGTTGTGGGGTATCCACCAGAGAAGACTACTTGGCCATGGATGTAAGACAATAAAAACTGTGTTCAGGACCCAAGAGTACAGCACCAACCCTTTCTCAGGGTGAACTTTTAAGCACAAAAATCATATCCTGGGTTGACATACTTTAGTTAACAAGACCAGTTAGCTAGAAGCAGAACTACAGAAGCCAAAGAGCAAGGTTACTATATTTAGAGACTTTCCCAGAACTATGGACTTTGATGGATTATGTTCTTTTTTTTTTATTTTGGCTGGTGGTGCTGAGTTTTAAGAACAATACATCCATCATGGAGTCAGTTGTGCCTCTTAAGGTCTGGAGGCCTGCTACAATAGTTCTATATACTGTGTGTACAAATATTTCATGCGTGTAAAATAACTGTGTGACAAGCTTGTGAAGAAAAAGATACTCACTAGTGACAGTGTAAAAGGTAGAAGCTCAGTGGTAGGCTAACTTACCATAGCAAAACATTGGACTTTAAGTTATAATTATACTAGTACACCCATAAAATAAGGAAATTGTTGTTTTCTTCTTTTGTTTTTTCGAGACAGTATTTCTCTGTGTATCCCTGGCTGTCCTGAAACTCTCTGTAGACCAGGCTGTCTTTGAACTCAGAGATCTGCTTACTTCCGCCTCCTGGGTACTGATTGGGACTAAAGGCCTGTGCCATCACCTCCCAACTTGATTTGTGTGTGTGGGGGAGGGGTGGCATTTGTGTGTAGTCCAGACTGACCTTGCACTTTCTATATAGTTGAGGATGACCTTCAACACCTGATGTTTCAGCCTC